AGAAACCTTGAACACAAATTAGCAATAGAACAAATTCAAGAAAGCTTGAAAGAAATTAAAAATGGAGTTTCCTATTTATCATAAAGAAGGCACGAATCAAAAACTAGGTGAAGAGAATCAATATCCAGATGAACAAAAAGATAGCGAAAACCCATAAAGGAATACAAATACAAGATTCAGAACAGATAAAAAAACCAGATGTAAAACGTAAATATTTCTGAATAATTATTTGGGGATCTGCAGAAACTTTGAACACAAATTAGCAATAGAACAAATTCAAGAAAGCTTGAAAAAAATTAAAAATGGAGTTTCCTATTTATCATAAAGAAGGCACGAATCAAAAACTAGATGAAGAGAATCAAAAACAATAATTACAAAAGGTTAGCGAAAACCCATAAAGGAATACGAATACAAGATTCAGAACACATCAAAAAAACCAGATGCAAAACGTAAATATTTCTGAATAATTATTTGGAGATCTGCAAAAACCTAAAACACAAATTACCAATAGAACAAATTCAAGAAACTTGAAAGTAATTAACAATGGGGTTTCCTATTTATCATAAAGAAGGCACAAATCAAAAACGAGATGAACAGAATCAAAAACCAGATGAACACAAAGATAGTGAAAACCCATAAAGGAATACGAATACAAGATTCAGAACTTATCAAAAAAACGAGATGTAAAACGTAAACATTTCTGAATAATTATTCGGGGATCTGCAGAAACCTTAAACACAAATTAGAAATAGAACAAATTCAAGAAATTTGAAAGTAATTAACAATGGAGTTCTTATTTATCATAAAGAAGGCACGAATCAAAAACGAGATGAACAGAATCATAAACAAGATGAACAACAAAATAGCGAAAACCCATAAAGGAATATGAATACAAGATTCAGAACAGATCAAAAGAACTAGATGTAAAACGTAAATATTTCTGAATAATAATTTGGGTATCTACAGAAACCTTAAACACAAATTAGCAATAGAACAAATTCAAGAAACTTGAAAGTAATTAACAATGGGGTTTCCTATTTATCATAAAGAAGGCACGAATCAAAAACTAGATGAACAGAATCAAAAACCAGATGAACACAAAGATAGCGAAAACCCATTATGGAATACGAATACAAGATTCAGAACAGATCAAGAAAACCAGATGTAAAACGTAAACATTTCTGAATAATTATTTGGAGAGCTGGAGAAAACTTAAACACAAATTAGCAATAGAACAAATTCAATAATCTTGAAAGTAATTAACAATGGAGTTTCCAATTTAACATAAAGAACGCACGAATCAAAAACCAGATGAACAGAATCAAAAACCAGATCAACACAAAGATAGCAAAAACCCATAAAGGAATACGAATACAAGATTCAGAATAGATCAAAAAAACTAGATGTAAAACGTAAATATTTCTGAATAATTATTTGGGAATCTGCAGAAACCTTAAACACAAATTAGCAATAGAACAAATTCAAGAAACTTGAAA